GTGGAAAGAATACAAAAGTGAAAAAAAACAAAAAACCTCTCTGTGACCTCCATGGGGAGAGAGATCAAAACCCAATAAAAATAAGAAAACCCATTAAACCACATGGAACAAGTGCCAGATGAGTGGTCCAGATAATTGCCCAGCCCCTGTGGTCAGCTTCCTCAACCACCAACCTGCCTTCTTTCCCTGAGCCCTTGGCCTGTTGTCTTTATACTTGGAAGACCTTAGCACTTTTTTAAGCCTTCATCCTTCCTCTGCCCTCCATGATCTTCTGTCTTAAAATCCTTTCCTAATTTTACTTTTGTTTTGATTTCTTCACCTTTGCCCTCCATCCCTTAGAATTAACTTTACTTTTATGAAATTCTTTCTGCTCTACCTAAATTTTAAGTTGCTCCTATGTTTTTTGCTGTTGTCATTGTTGGTAAATGTGGGTCTCTTTATATGTTGCCCAGGCTATCTTTGAATTTTGTCTTTCTTCCTGTGTCAGACTCCATAGAGTTACTGTTTAGGACAACTGGCTTGCATCACCACACCCGGCTCCTAAGTTGTTTTCCAGGTGCTTCTCAAGACTAAACTTTAATTGTCTATTTTATGAGTTTGTTTATTTCTATTAGTTTATTTTATTTAGGTGCATGTGTGTGTGTGCCTGCATTTATCTGTGAGTACCGTCTGTGACTGGTGCTTGAGAAAGCCAGAAAAGGGTATTGGAGACCCTGGTACTGAAGCTATAGACAGTGTGAGCCTCCATGTGTGTTTTGGGAACCAAACTCAGGTTATCTGCAAGAGTAGCAAGTGTTCTTAACCACAGAGCCATTTATCCGGCCCTTGAGTTTATTTCTTATGATGACAAAAAAATGAAATCATACTTTTCAACATAAACATAGAAAAATGCTCAAGCGTAAATATATGTATCACCCTACAAACATGTACTGTGTGCATGTTGTTGTCAAGCCATCCATGAAATCAGATCAGAGGGGTGTAAACCTACTGTGCTCAGGAGCTGATACTCATAAACAGATATGAAATGAGAGAGGGGTATCTAATAATGTGCCTCTATTGAGTATGACCCTATGAAAGACCTTTTAAAGAAAAGTGGTATTTGTTCGAGTATTGATTTACCAAGTCTTTCATCTATAGAGCAAAAAATCCATAAATAAATATAGGATAATTTTTGGTTAAAATTACCAAATTATATGTATCTAAAAATAAATTTGGTTGAGAACATGCCAAAATTATAGCACACACTTTATAGTGAGCTTAGTGTATTGGATTATATTAATGGTGCTGCAATTTTAAAAAACATAAATATCTCCCAAAAGTATTGGCTGAGTTTATAGGTGAGAATGTGTTATCTGATCTCTCTTGTAACCCAAGAATTTAATTTTAAGGAACTGAAGATAGATCTCATCTGTTGTGCTACCTTAGGGCACAGAAACAATATAATGAATGGTATGTGATAGTTGATTTTTATTTTATGTTCTATATAATGGGCTCTGTAATGATTTTTTTGTTAAATATTAAACACATACAGACAGATATGTATACATACTTATAAACAGATTTATCATTTTAGTGGGTGTTATCCACAATGCCTACTGTTTTATGCTAGGCAACGTTTGGTTATAAATTATAGAAAGCAGGACTAATGGTTGCTTTGGTATTCTGTATGTTACTTATTTAAAACATAAGATTAGGTGGGTGGTTGTCAAGTTCATATAGCAGTATGGTCTTGAAACCTGTCAGTCTTCGTTTCTGGCATGATTACTTTAAGAACAAACTTTTACTTTGTGAGGCATATGTCTTAACCTTCTCCCCAAGTCCTGTGCTTTGCAGTGAGTAGTAAAATGTGAATAGCACAGCAAAATGCTTGGGTAAATGCTGATATTTTAAACTTACTGGTAACTTCAGTTGATTTACTTACAGAAGTAGCCAATCCAGTACTCTCTCATGGTCCATCACATCACAAAATAATCAAAATGTTCATTTGGAAAACAGTTAAAGTACTTGAAATTAATGCTGTGATTCTTCAAGCCATGGGTATAGATGGTTCAAGTACATGCTAAGTCTGTGTTCGCTACCTCTTATACCCAGGACTTTTTCAGAGCCACTTCCCGGAGTCTCTGATCCTCTGTAATGTGCTGACAGATGATTCCCACTGTGACAGCAATGTAATTGGTAGAATTGTATGGGAACCCCAGGAGATAGCAATTGTCAGATGGAAATTAATTGATTGTAATTGCTTTGCCATTGTATTGCATTCTGAGTCTGTAGCTTGTTAAAACCACTGATTATAAAAATAAGGATCTTACTTTTTCTGCTGTAGGTTATGTTAATGAAAAGCTGCTCTTAGAGAAATGATCGGTGAATATCAATCAATGGGTAATAAGAAATTAAAGGAGAAGTTAAGTAGCTGATCATGAATTAGCAGCATACTTCAGCAGTTGGGAAAGCCATCAACTGTTCAATGTTTTATACTGAACTTTCTGCTTGGAAAGCCTGCATGTCAACTATTTCCCATAGAAAGCAAGGTGGATTCTGTATGATTGTATAGTGCATACTGACCTAAATAACAGATCTTTGCCCTAGGTAAGATTTAGAAAACAGAATGTGTCTGTTTAACAGAGCCTTTATCTTGTGAGGAGTCATAACAGGAAGTTATCTTAAAACAGAAAACAGTTCTCATTGTCCTGTTTGTTTGTTTGTTTGTTTGTTTGTTTTTTGAGACAAGGTTTCTCTGTTGAGTTTTGGTGTCTGTCCTGGATCTCGCTCTGCATACCAGGCTGTCCTAGAACTCACAGAGATCCACCTGGCTCTGCCTCCTGAGTGCTGGTATTAAAGGCATGTGCCGCCACCACCTGGCCCATTGTCCTGTTTTTAATGTCTACGCATAAATAATGAGTGAAGACTCTGAAGTCATCATATTGAAATATCCATCAATACTGAAATGTACCAAGACTAATCCTCCTTGTGAAATCATACCTATTTCTTCTTGTTCTTAAAGATACAATAATTATTAGTAGCATTGTAATGAGGTCATTAGTGATCTTATCTTTCATTCATGATATTTGATTGATTTGTGATGTTAGGGAGGTTGTATTTATTGTCTATATTTTACTGAGTACTAATTATTCTGATTAGGCCTCAGCACTTACCCACCGGGAAGTCATGGAATTAAAGAATGGGTGGACTTGGGTGTGAAATCTTGGATACAAAACCTTGTGACTAACCTACATCCATGCAAAGGAAATTCAACAATATTAAATGCTAAATAATTTATTCATCTTTTACTTATAAAAACATATATTTTCTTGGCTATTGAAGTGGAATTGCTGTTAATGCTTCAGCTGCTTAAAATCTGCAACTAAAAAAAAATGTGCAGATGAGGCAGTGGAGTCATCCTGTCGTTAGGATGTATTTAAGGCTTGTTTAATATTTGGGATGCAGATATACATGTATAGCTTAGTGAAAAATATAAGTAACTATGATTTAAAAGTACATGTTTAAAGGAATGCTGAAAATCACAATTATTTTTACCATTAAATATTTTCTATGATTATTCTTCACATACGACTGACTTCCAGAATTTGGAGCATTGAAATTTTAATTACAGAATGAAATGGGAATGTGAAAAAAAATTACAGCTATTGGCAATTGTAGCTATTAGCAATGCACTCCCAAATTGGCATGCATCTCCACATGACTATCAGGATATATATTGATCAAATATTTAACAACATTTGGCAACAATAAAGGGAATGAATGTCATGTTGTTTCAATCCTTCATATAGCATGTTAGCTAAGAATGAAATGAACCAAAGTTGTTGTACTGTATTTGACTGTATTTTGCTCTTGCTGTTATGTGTGCTCTAAGGGTAATGCCTAGAGGGGTGGTTCTCAATCTGTGGGTCATGACCCCCTTGTGGTCTCTTATTAGATAACCTGCATATCAGATATTTACTTTACAATTTATTACATTAGCAAAGCTACAGTTATGAAGAAGTAAAGAAATAATTTTTGGTTGGTGTTTACCACAACATGAGTAACTATATTAAAGAGTAACAGTATTAGGAAGGTTGAGAACTGCTGTCCCAGAGTGACTCCACTGTTAAAATGTAGGGGGAGGGTGTCATTGGTCCCCAGACATGCATTTGATTCTGACTGGATGTTCAAGCTCTGACCTATAATGATTCAGTGTTTACATCTCCTATGCACTCCTTCCTACATTAATTTAATGCCCAGCTCTAATGATGCAGAGTATAATACAAATGCTGTTTAAATAGATGCCATTGGCTCTTGTTTAGGGAACAGTGGTGAGGAGAAAATGTATGAACACATACTATTTATTTGTTTGGTGGTTTAGCTGTCATAGAACTTGCTTTGAAGACCAGGATGGCCTTGAACTCATGAAGATTGGCCTGCCTCTGCCTCCTGAGTGCTAGGATTAAAGGCCCGTGCTAGAATGTTCTGGTACAATTTAATTTTGTATGCAGTGTTGAGAAGTGAATCCAGGATCTTGCAAAACTAGGAATGTTTTAGCTATTTCAGTCTTTGGGTTTTTTTATTGTTTTTTGTTTTGTTTTGTTTTTTGTTTTTGTTGTTTTCCAAAGAAAGGCAATACTATACAACTTAGCCTATCTTTGAATTCTGTATATAGCATAGGCTTTCATTGAACTCATGATCCTCTGGCCTCCACCTATGGGTTGCTGGCAATAGAGATGAGCTTCTTTCTGCCCACTCTCAAGTTATTTCCCTGAATATTTTTCTTTTTTGCTTAGTTGAATACCAGGATACAGAACCTTTATAAATGGAGGACTGAAAACTGAATATAGTAGATTAATTCAGCTGTGTAGGTTAGTTTCATTGAAGACTGGTGCTGTCTATCTCCAATCCCCCTGATATAGCCTTTGCATAGTCCTGGACTCACAAATCCAGCTAATGATAGAAGTGGTCTGTAGTATAATACATGTCAACAGCATTTTCCTCTTTTCTCTCCTCTTCAGATACTACGACATACTCTACTGAACGATCTGAGCACTTCAAACCCTGCCGAGACAAGGACCTAGCATACTGTCTCAATGATGGCGAGTGCTTTGTGATTGAGACCTTGACAGGATCCCATAAACACTGTCGGTAAGCTCCTTCAACAGATAGATTAAAGATTAGACCCTCATTGAGGACAAGAAGTAGAGGGTGGTAGCCAGCTTTGACAATACAGTGTCTGGGTGTGTACAGAGCAGCTGTTTTAGTGGAGAAATTGAAACGGCAAGGAATAAGGCTCATACCTTGTTGCTGTTTGAGGAAGAAACAATAGAAATAAGATAGATGTGGCTATGTTTTGTCTAACAGGTCAAAGAAGATTTACTTCATATCTGCCAATTTAATGAAAGTGATTATTTATTTTCCAAAGCTTGTATTTATGACATGAGACACAAGCTTATATCCTGTCACTCAGAAACAATTCTTTCCTCAGAAATAATCCTTCCTTGCAAATCTAAGAACTTCAATAAGAGACACAGACTGCTCATCTTAGAGAGTCTTGGTGTTCAATGTGAAGCAAATCCCAGAGACTGCACCTGTGTCCAGAGAGAGCTGGGTTTTATTATGATTCTGCTGCACTTATTAATTTCAGACGTTTTTGAAAACACCTGTGATGAGAAACTGCTCTCTAGCAAGATGTTGTAAATGAATTGATTGTCCTGCTAGGACCCAGGTAGAGAACCACTTAAGAGAAATTCCCAGTAGATTCAGGAAGGTGTTTAATTGGTTTTCAGAGACACCGGTTTGTATAACTGCTAAAAATACAAGCAAGGGGATATAAACAATGCACTCCTAGACAGTGCCACTTTAAGGCTCAAAAGAAGAATCAAATTAGCATTCAAAAGTTATTTCCCACCATGCTTTTATTTCCAGCACTACCCTTGTAATTTGTTTTTCCTTGCAATTGTACATGCTTCAGTGACCATATGTAACCACAAACCTTCCCTTTCCTTTATTTACTCTCCTCATCTGACACAGTTATTAAATTAATTATGCTGAATCACAAAGCAGGGAAAATTGTGACTTTTTCTCTATACCGCTTTATAAAACTTTATCCTCATGTTGTTTTATTAAGATGACTCAGAAAAAATGTATCTTTTAGTGGTGAGATCAGAATGTGACAGCAAATCTGACTTGCTTCACAAGCAACCATGAGTCCATGAAGAGGATTTGTGGCCACTGTGGACAGAGATATAGGTGTGAAAGGACTGATGAATGTTGGTAGAGGTTCTCTGTCCTATATCAGGGTAAAGAGAAGACAATGTTTCTTTACCTAGGACATGGAACTTTAATGTGGTTTAGTCCTTTCAGTTACATACCCACTTCTCTGTCTTCTGAATTTACCCTAATTTAAATTTTTTTATTTTATTTCTACTTTCTGCAAACCTGAGTGGGAAATGAAGGAAAGTATGGATAGTTCCATCCCACACTTTTTGTTATGCCTCTGAGAATGCTGGCAAGTCGTATATAAGTGATCTTAATTTCTAGAGGGAAAAACATATGGGCATCCTTTTCAGAGCCATGTCCATGTCCAAGGTCTTTTAGTCACTCAGCCAAGTGTTAAAGTTACCTTAGTCCACACAGTTAGGCCATGATGTGAAAATTCTTAGTAGGATTGGTGGCATGATTTGTTACTAGACATCATATGCTGGAGGCATAGTCCTGCATGTGTTGATATTGCGGTGATGGCTTTGAAGAGTCAGAGACTAGTGGAAGGTAATTAGGTCATGGATGTTCCACCCTTGTGAACAGATTAACATTATCTCCTAGAAAATTAATACAACATAGAAGTGTGTCAAATTCAGTAAGACAGGATATGTTTCCTAAGAAGCATGTTGTCATGAATAACATGACCCAATTTTTTCCCTATCTCTTAGTAATGGTTACATGTGCACTGTTTTATCTATGGCTAGTTTCTTCTTTGTTTCTCTGCTACAGTGTGATACAATATCACTGCTATCCTGATAACATGATGTCTATGTTCCCAGTCACTAGAATAATAAGCCAAATTCACTTCCTTATTTTACACATTGCTTAGCCCCACTTACCTTGTTATAGTAATAGCAATACAAAATAAAGCAAGGCATCAGACAGTCAATTAAGCTGACCTCATTATCCACTGAAGGAGAGATGAATTAGAAGAATCAGTTAATAAGGCATGGTGTTTTACTGCAAAGATGGGTCAGATCTAACCCAACCAATGTGTGCCAGTATGAGTCATCTGTTCTAAAATTGAATATACAGAAAAGGACAGAATGATTCAAAGTCTTTTCAAACATATGGTCTCACTAATTCCTTAAGTTTATGAATTTATTAGTCTTCATTTTAATTTTTTTGTATTTTAGATATATCAATTGTAGAAATTATTGGGGCTCACTGTGGCCTTTCCACATATGCATGCATTGTTCAGCTGTCCTGTTCACTCCCCAGGACCTTGCCCTATTCCTAAGTTTCTCTTCAGTTTTGTTTCCTATTCTCCCACATCTCTCCTGTCTCTACTGTCCATTACTTCATTCCGTACTTCTATGTTGTATTAACTTTCTAGGATTGCTAACGCCAAGAATGGCAGACCATATAGTTTAACAACTGAAATCTGTTGTCTCCCAATTAGACAGATTAGAGGTCAATGATCAAGATGACATTTGGGTTGGTTTCTTTTGAAGACTCTTGACTTAGACTATGTGGCACATCTTCTTTCTGTGTCTTGTCATTGTGTTCCTTCTGTAGATGTCTGAGTTTATATCTCTTCTTCTTGTGTGAATACCAGTCATAATGGATTACATTCCACCCGTGAATTCTTCCTAACTTCATTCTGGTTTGGAAAATAGGATAGATTGCTTGCCTCACACACTTAAGCCCTGGGATGGTTGCTCCTGAGGTTGCCAGAAAAAAACAAACAAAAAACAAATAAGCAAATATAATCCTTAAGTAAAGAATTTTTCCACATGCATGCTCACACTCTGAGACATTGGAAATCAATAGCTCACCACAGGGATTTATTGAAACCCTGTTTAACCCACAACAGCAGGTCTCATGTTCAGAAAAGGAATCTTTATTCATACATGTGTATGTCTAAATTTTGTATCTCATACAATTGGAAATGCATCAGTGTCTTAACTAGAAGGATGTGTAATACTTGGGCCCTCTGTCTTCATATTTCTTGCATATTTTGGTTCCGACAACCTATTATTTAACATAGAGTGACAACAAAGCTAATCATGACAAAAGACCAGCTGTGTACAGAATCAGAACTCAAGTATGTTAGTAGACACCCAGTCTATAAATCTCTTACTAGTATAAATAAGTCACACATCACACTTGCCTGCTATTCATCTCCCAGGTCTTGCCATGAATATCACACATCATACTTGGCTGCTATTTATCTCTCAAGAGGTCTGTGAATCAAAAGCACACATTTGTTCCTGCATCAGCCACTCTTAAACTTTCCGAGGCAGTTATTAATACTATGCCATTTGGGTAGCACTCTATTTAAGTAGTAGTATGTTTCATTCACTCTTCCCCTATCTGGCAAATGTGTATTGGACATCTTCTATCACCAAGGTACTATTGAATAAATACATACAGAAATGAATTTAAGAATTAAATAGCACTGCAATTTGTGATGTGTTTGCAGAAGTAGTGACTGGCATGACACTCGTGGCAGATTTAGTATGTATTAATTACTGGAAAATGTTCCAAGTAAAATAAGACCACATTTAATGTATTGTACATCAATATAAAGACATGTATATGTATCAACTTGCTATGATGTTTTTCAGTTACAAAATACTATAAATCAAAGTCTGAGATAAATCATGATAATGTTTTCTTGACATTCTTTGTCTAAAGTTGCAATGCTATAACAAACTTCTTCATCTATTTTTCCTTGCTGTGAGAAATAATTGTGCTCTGGCATAGACCTCTTTTGTAAATGGAATTAGTAACAAAGCTTCCAGTAGAGATTCAAAAAATACTTCATCAAACACAAAAGTGTTCATTCAGAGCTCTATGTGGTGACACATGCCTGTAATCCCAGCACTCCAGAGTCAAAAGCAGAACGATCTCTGTGAGTTCTAGGTCACCTTGGTCTACATAGCTACAAGGTTGCACAGTGAGATTCTGTCTCAAAAAGTAAACAAGAACAAAACTATACACAACGAAAAAGTGTTCGATAAGGAAAGCATGAGGAAAGATCAGTATGGAAATCAAGAGGGGCAGATTGCTCAATAAATGGTGCTCAGGCAAACCAAACCCAAAGCATATGTTTTTTCCTTACTTCGTACATTAACAGTTATCCTCAGTGATGATGAAAGTTAATGAATTAAGTAAGTAAATGAAACCTAAAGAAAACAAATAAGCTTGAATATTTATTTAAGTCAGCAACTGTAAGGACATTTTAAACTAAAATAAAAAAATGGAAGAAAAAATAAGCATAACGTGGCTTTAGATCAGAATATTTGAAACATCATTGTTTGTTTGTTTTCTGTATCTAAAAAACACATCAGAAACAAAAATAAAAGAGAAAACTGACTAACTAATGTTGCACAATCTTAACTAAGAGATGTTACATAGTATCCTAAGGTTGAGATGAAAACACAGTCCAAGTAGGAAAGTGGAGAAAGGGACAGAATACACTATTTCCTTTAAGAGGAATCCAGGTGATAAATGGACACAGGAGATACTGGACCTGACCTCTCAAGAAATGCAGTTTTTCTTTTTCATTTTCTGGGGGCAGGAGTCATTGTTTGATTTTTAGCTTAACCTATATTTAGGGACTGTTAAAAGTAAATTCTCAGTTTATAAATATTCTTAAAAGTGTCCTAATGGCATACAGGTTGTTAAACATTTTGTAAAAAGTGTTTCTGTGCATTCAAAAGTCACTGTATCTCAGAACACAGCCAACAGAAATGTATGTTAGGAATTATATGTAGGAATGTCACCAAGTTTTTTGTTTGTGATTGCAAAAAAAGAAAGAAAATACTAAGGTCTGAGTTTAAATATGCCTACACATTGGAAAGTCTCTGCGTAGGCAGAGACTGGCTCTCCACTGTTTTAAGAGGATAGGGGTGTTCATTTTGTCATGCTATATGTGA